CGCGGTTGGCGTTTGTTTTGCTGAGAAATTCTTCCGTAGAAAGCATGCGGAATTCAGTTCCATCCCCACACACGTCAAACGCTTTCATGGAGAAAGCCTTGACGCCGTATCCTTGGAAGAGACGCAGGTCAAGGGAGACCTTCTTGTCTTCCTTGACCCAGTCTGTCCCAGCGCTGTCGAAGACGGACGTGAGGAAGAAGGTCCTGAACGTCCTCCCTTCGTAGGTCTTCCTGCCCGCCTCGGATTTCTCCACACCCCCACAACAGTACCAAGTGGAGCCATTGTCATCGCTCAAGAAGATAACAGCGCCACACCCCGGTTTATGCAAACCGCCTACCTAGTCAAGAGCCCACGGTTTGTCGTTGTAAGTCTTAGACCTGTCGTACCGTTTATTTTGAGCAGAGGTCGGCGCACCAGGTTTACCTGCCGGGGGCAAAGGCAAAACAAAGATGGGTAGGAGAACAGCAATGAGCAAGACACAGAAGCACTTGCACGTGGTCCGAGACATTCAAGAAGGCACGTGACCCGCCATACGCCCGCCATCCTTTCGGCAAGGGGGGTTCGCGAAATCGGGAACGCTGCATTCCAGACAAACGTGCATGGTCGAGGGGTCTGGCGTTCCCAGTCCACTGGACCCTCGCCATCCTTTCGAGGCAGGGGGTCGAGGGTTCCCATTATGACGGGGCCCCCTCCCCACCCAGGAAGGATGGCGAGGGCAGGGCGTTTCGGGAACGCCCGACCCCCGGGCCCCCGTCATCCGTGCCGACGTCGGAGGTCCGGCGTTTCCAATCCGCCGGACCCCCATTCGAAAAGGGTGGAGGGGGTAGGGCGTTTCGGGAACGCCGGACCCCCGACGGAGCACGGGTGTCGGAGGTCCGGCGTTTCCAATCCGCCGGACCTCCATCCGAAAAGGGTGGAGGAGGTAGGGTATTTCGGGAACGCCGGACCCCTGACCGAGCATGGGTGTCGGAGGTCCGACGTTTCCAATCCGCCGGACCTGCATCCGAAAAGGATGGAGGAGGTAGGGCGTTTCGGGAACGCCGGACCCCCGACCGAGCACGGGTGTCGGAGGTCCGGCGTTTCCAATCCGCCGGACCTCCATCCGGAAAGGGTGGAGGGGGTAGGGCGTTTCGG